GCAAACAATAGACATGTTCACTTTGCTTATTGGACCATTTCTGGGGGCTTAACAGCTTCTGACATTTGACCTTATATAATAGCCTTGGCACATATGCCAAACTCAGAATCGCATTATAGCATACTACCTTTACTACTCCTGCCACAGAAAGATATGATAAAATAGTAAGAGTAATGCACTAATATGCGGGTCCGAATTCAGAAATATTGTATATGACTGTGTCCAAAATCACATTGCTCTTTTGACTAAGTAATTACTTTGAAACTGCGCTCTAGTTCTGTATAGTATGAATTTAATCCCAATGTAGCCTACTACATTTTTTATGTTGTCATTGTCATGTGACCTACCAGCATCAGTTTTTTAATGAGGCCTTGCTGAGAGCTTTTGTCAAGTGGGAATTAACTGGTATAAGAACAAACCAGTGTGCCTGTGCCTTTTCCTGTGACTCCTTTGATCAGCAAACAGACACCAACAGAGTGTTTCTGCATTGAAGTTTATGAAATTGTATGAAAAATGTGTATGTGAGTTTCCCAAAAGATCACGTGATCAGCATGATCTTTTACTCTGTTCTCACAAGATTTTCAGTTACATCAGTTGGTAATTAAAGACCTTTTGTGGTGTCTTACATACCTTTCTGAATCTGAGGGGATAGTAGTATCTCTTTTAAGTCACAAATATGATGCAGATAATAAGTAAATATGAACAATATTTGGAAAACAATGTTTAATTGAATTTATATGTGGTATTGTATGATTTGTATGGTATGTCCACATCCAGTATTCTGGTATCATCCCCCGCCTCCCCAAAACACATATGCCACAGAAGATTTGTGCTAGTTGCTCAAAGTTTCCATGTGGAAAAGTGCCGCATGTAGAAGTTAAATGCACATCTTCTTAAAGAGTCAGACCACTGGCTGCAGAGGAAGTGTGGGTGTGGTTGTGACTCATAGATGCATTACTTAAGTTCCTAAAGTTAAATATATACAAACCATAAAAAGAGAACATGAAACTAACACTTGATATTTGTAATTAGGCTGGCAGAGGCACAGTGAAGCCCCACAGTGGATTCAATGCTAATAATGATGCTGAAGTTCTCTACAAAGCCATGAAAGGACTCGGTGAGTTTGACAAACATATTAAATGTTCATTTTGACACATTAATTATCAGTAGACCTTCAAATGCATGTCTATGATTCCACACCGTATTATATCGATAGAACCAGTATAACTGCAAATTATAATCTATAATGCTGTAGAATATCAGAGGTCTTACACATTTAGTGTGACTTATTTATTATTATTTGGAGTATCAATGCTGCATGTAGGTTAATTTGTATTTAGACGTTAATTAGTGAGTTTTGCTTGTTTAAATAGTTTAGTTAATTCTTATACATGAATAACCCAAAATATTGCATTTGGGTGTACGAGATGGATATCGGTCTACTCATTATGTAATGGTCATCATCAACATTAATTCATTTTTTTTTACTCAGGCACTGATGAGGATGCCATTCTCCAGCTGTTGACAGCACGCAGTAATGCACAGCGCCAAGAAATCAAAGCTGCATACAAAACCCTGCATGGAAAGGTAATATCATAAGCATGAGTAATGTACTCTTAACACTGTTTAATTTGAATACATGCAGAACATTTAAAAGGTGCATACATTTCTTTTTTTATTTTCATCTTCATCTCTGTTTAGGATTTGGTGGATAATTTGATGTCAGAGCTGGGTGGGAAGTTTGAGAGTCTGATAGCGACTCTGATGACTCCTCCCATCATGTATGAGGTCACATGTCTGCGGGATGCTATTAAGGTACATACCAATAACTATAGGGCTGTCAATCATTTTTAAGACAAGAAAACTACTACTCACAATTGTTGTTGTTGTTTTTTTTTGTAAAAGTACTTGTAGTGAAATACACTTGACATTTTAATAGACAGATCAGTGTATATCTGAACATTTGCATTTTGTTGTCTTAGGGTGCAGGCACAGATGAGAAAGTGTTGGTTGAGATCTTGGCATCTAGGTCACCTAATGAAGTCAACCAGATCAAAAGTTTATACAAGCGAGGTAACTGTGTTTGTGTCGGTTGTGTACTATAAGTCTTTGACTTTGTATTCTCATTCTTAGTTCTTTGCTCTTGATGATGTCTATATATGTATTATAGAGCATAATGATGACCTGGAGGAAGATGTGACTGGTGACACTGGAGGTCATTTCAAGAGGATGCTGGTTGTTTTGCTACAAGTATGTAGTCCATTAACAATAAAATGAAAATCCAAGATTTAAATCAACAATGTGTCTGTGTATGTGAGTAGTTCTTATAAAGTGAGACAGGAAATTTCAATCCACTGTAAACAGACCTGCATGTTTATAAATAGTGTGCATGTTTTGTCATTTATAGTATTACTGTTCAATCATTTGATATTATATGATTTCTCTATAGGCCAGCAGACAGCAGGGTATACAAGAAGACCTCATCCAAAGCGATGCCCAGGTAAGTTTGTATATGTACCATCACATCAAGTCCAATGCAACTAAATATTTGCAAATACTTGTTTAAACTAAAGTGGCCATGTTGAGTTGGATTCAAAATGTTTTCATTTTTTAAAAGTGGAATAAAAAGTCCAGCATCTTTTGACTTGATGTAAAATGAGGTGAAATGCTTCCATCTAGTGCTTGTTGTGTGTAATACCAGTTTGTCAGTCTTTAAAAAGTTGAAAAACTGTTTGTGTTGGGTGTAGGCTCTGTTTGTCGCAGGAGAACAGAAGTATGGAACTGATGAAGGCCAGTTCATCACTATACTGGGAAACCGTAGTAATGCTCACCTTAGGAGAGGTTAGTGTGACACATGCATGTAGGTAATGGAAATGGTATTTTTACTTTTATAAATTCATTTGTTTCTGTTAATTTCTCTGCAGTGTTTGAGGAGTATAGAAGGCTCTCAGGGTATGAAATAGAGGAAAGCATCCAGAGAGAGACATCAGGAACCCTCCAAGAAGTACTGCTGGCTGTGGGTAAGACACACACACACACACAAACATTTTTCAATCAAATATGGTTAATTCTTCAATCAAGTGCAAAACAGAATTTTCCTTATTTTACTTTTTATAATTTTATTATAGAGGGGAAGTTAAAAAGTATGGGTAGGGACTATGGACAAAATGGAGAAAAAAATGTAATCTGCCCTTTAAAAAAAAAAATCATATTAGGGAGGGAATAATTCTTATGCATATGCAGCAAACATATCTTGGGTTTTCTCTATGTGTGTCTGTTTTGTTTCATAAAACATTCTTTTCTCTGCCTCGTCAGTGAAGTGTGCCCGCAGTGTGCCAGGGTATTTTGCTGATAGCCTTTACGGTGCCATGAAGGTGAATCTATGTTTTAATATTAAATGAATATATATATATTTAGTATTTATCTCTTTGATTAGAAGATTTTCTGATCCAAAAAAGAAGGACTGCAAAGAACAAATGTTATTTTGATATCATCGAAATACAATACTTTTTTTTTTCCTTAAGTTTTTATTATTGTATTTTCCAGTTTAATTTTTAAAGATTTTGTAATTTTGTTGTGTGTTTTTGTCATTTTTATTATTAATGTTGTTGTTGTTGATCCAAAATGACTAATTTGATGCAATATCAGCAAAATCCAGTAAATGGCGGTAGGCTAAAGTGCGGTATATAAGAGTTACGCAATTAGAATGTGCTCAGTAATATCTTCAGGGTCGGATTTACCCTTTATTGAGACAGGCAAAAGAAATGTTTCGGTCCCCCTTGCCTATTAATATATAATATTACCACCCCAATATGTCAAATAAAAATTAATCATAATCCATGGAACTTGTTACAGTGTTGTTCTCTATCGCAGAATCCCATTGCTGATTACAAAACATCATTTTACTTTAATGCTAGTAACAGAGGCTTCAGCCTGTAATATGCAAACTAATGCAGTTATGAGAGGGAGAGAGCTTAAGCGTGTCTGAATTAGTGTACCGCATAGTACGGTAGAGTACTGCATGTTTGTCTTTCAACATTCTTCGGCTGCATGCATCTCTACCATCAGTGAATCTGTAAAAGTGTGCTTTTAATGGGGAATAAAAAGTAATGGGGCAAACATGGAAATAGTTTGTCTTTTTATCCTGTTGTTTATTAGCTATATTTATTTGCTTAGTCAATGTTTAGGCTATTTGGGTTTTTGGTTATTCTGCAGTTTTCCGGATTATAAATCACATTTTTTATCATCCAAAACATGCTGCGATTTATATTCCAAAGTGATATATATATATATATATATATATATATATATATATAGCAATCAATGTGAAGTGCAAAGCGCAAAAATTTGGATTGATGCATTTCCCACAAACTGCTAGTTTCATTTTGGCTTGGAGTTTATAATAAATGTTGTTAGTAGTGAATGAGACTATATTTTCTGATTCTTTTATCCTTATATTTTTCATTCCTTGTTCTTTTATAAATAGTGCTAAATTTAAAGGATTTCTTGTGGAGTGAGGGCAACGAAAATAAATGTTTCTAAGGCTTATAACGTTTCATTTAATTTATGTTATTTCTGAATTAAATGATAAAATGTTACATACATTAATTGACTTATATACGTTTTTTTTAAGCTCATAAAAAATACAAGGTAGAGAAGGTACAAGAACAGAACTGCCATGTTATGTACAAGTATATATACAGTACAGTAGTAACTGAGTGTCAAATTAGAATAAATAAATATATAAATAAAAAAATCAAAGCTTCATTTGTCATGCATATACTATGCGGCTCCTCACTTATATTAAAAAAACTTGATGTGGCCCTCAAGTCAAAAGGTTTGCCCATACCTGCTATATAGGTTTTATTAAATTTAAACTAAATGAAAGAGTTTAATGTTTAAAATTGTTTTTTTAATGATTTTAGTTTTAGTTAACTGTAATAACCCTGCAAAGAACTTACCTCTTGGTTTAATTTTACTTTCATCCTGCAGGGGGCAGGCACCGATGACCAGACATTGATCAGGATCATGGTTTCCCGCAGTGAGGTGGACATGTTGGATATACGTGCTGAATTCCGCAAGAGGTTTGCTACCTCTCTGCACAAAATGATTCAGGTATACTCATGCATACAGGTGTTAGTATTTAGCAATTAATGCCTTACAAATTTTATTCTTTATCCACATCACCGAAACTGAATTTTCTCTCATCTTTCTCTTAAATTTATTTCCGTTACCACAGGGTGATACCTCAGGTGACTACCGTAAAGCCCTGCTACTGCTGTGTGGCGGTGATGATGCATAAACCCTGCCACCCTCTCTGCCTGGGTCGGATCCCATGACTCCCATCTCTGGGGCAGGTCTATGGGACGAGGGCCTAGTCCCCTTCTGAACCCAATTCAGGACGAATTACAAAAACATGACATTCCAAATCAAAAGAAGGATCTCTTGTCCAGCGGTGAAGATGCTCTGTATAGCACAGAATTGCTTAATTCAAATAAGCAATAAGCACATTTTGGCATTCATATTTCATGAAATGTGTAATCGATTTAGAGAAGAAAAATATTTTAGTATAAACTTCAAAAATATGAGACACCTTCTCTTTTCTATATTCAAAGACTCAGAGAAAAACATAATAACCCTTCTCTTGTTGTACTCAGTGAAGCAATATTTTATATGCATTCAACAATTTTTCACTTATTTATTGTTTGTATACTTACTAACTTACTTAACATTTCAGTGTATAGCAATATAGTATAACAACCAGTCTCGTAACTGACATTGTTAGCAAGTTCATGTTTTAAACTAGATTTGTGGTAAAGGAAAAGTTAAAGGAAAGGCTCACTGAACTTTTGGTGTCAGTGGTTTGGAGAAAAAAAAGAAGGTTATTTCATCAATATTCCACTGTTAAAGTTAAACATACTGCCCATAATTGTTAAATTGATATATAATTACACACAGCAAATAAATATTAGCAAAACATTTGTCCTCTTTAAGGTTATTGATATTCATTAAAAGCTGAAGAAAAAGGTGCTACTACTAAAATGTTTTAATATGTCATTGCCATAATGTTCACAATAAACACTCATGAAATAAAAGCAAATAGACAGTCTCCTGTATGACTGATGACATCATGACAACTGAGCTGTTTTGTGCATTTGTTGTCATAAAGCAGTTCACCCTTTTTGCGTAATTTTGCTCACCAAACGTACACATTACCAGAACAGATTTATTAGAGTCAGTGTACCATCAAGTCGGCATTAATAGCCTTGTGGGCAGTGTGCCGACATACAGCACCGTTGCGCTACAGGCGTCTTGAGTTTGAATCCTGGCTCGAGGACCTTTCCTGATCTCTCTCCCACTTCACTTCCTGTCACTTCTGCACTGTCCTATACTAATAAAGTAATAAAAAAAAAATCCAAAAAAGTGTACCATTAGAATGATTTTGAAACTGATATTTCAAGTTAAAAAAAAAAACACTAAGTTCTTTAGATGCTTTAAGTTCAAATAGGCTAAAACTGTATAATTTCATATTGTTGGACGATGGTGGACAATTAAAATGTGAAAATGAAAATGTAATTGCTTATTCAGTGACATTTAGTGCGCTATAGGTCAGTATTGACCAAAGGGAGGCGCTGTAGTCAAAGAATGAACTGACAGAGCAACGTGTGAAATAATTAAGGAATATTACTTACCGGTTTGCGACTACATGTAGTTTGTTAGTGGTTTAAATATGAAATATGCTCTAATAATGGTCCTATTGTTTGGTGAAGTAAGGATCATAATGCTATATACTTTTCCTTTGGCAAGGTACTGTAAAATAAATTGGCAGGAAATTGACACTCGGCTTGTAATTCTTCCTTGTATCACTATAGACATATTGGAGAATGTACTGCAAGTGTAGACAAGCTTCATTCACACCTGTCCTCATAAAAAAAAATAGTGATGTACATGTAATTCTTTAGTTCGGCTTGTGGATGTGTGCTTCAGAGTTTGTCAACTAAATAAGTTTAATAGCAGTGGTGTAATGTAACGAAGTAATAATATTTCGTTACAGTAGGCTACTTAAGTATTTGTTGGGAGTATCTGTATTTACTTGATTTTATATTTCAGCCAACTTTTACTTTTACTCCACTACATTTCCTTCTTCTTCTTGGTTTTTAACGGCGGCTGGCACCAACGCAAATAGGTGCATTACCGCCACCTTCTGCTCCGGAGTGTGAAACAGAGTTTTAAATTCTATTTACCAACCCTGTATCCCTTATAAAATCAAAGAATACATTACTATTTATTTCACTTGCCCATTTTATTAAAACCTTAAAATTAAGATCCTGAATTCCATTTTTCCTTATTTCTACTATCATTTTTCTTCTTTCTTGTTCATACTTGCTACATTCAAGAAATACATGAGGTATTGTTTCTTCAACATGACATTGTTCACATAACCCATTTGGATGTTTCCCTGTTATTTTAAGAGTGCTATTTAAATTTGAGCGCCCTAGCAATATTCTGTTAAAGATAACCTCTTCTTTCCTTGACTTACCTATACACTTTATATTATGACTGACTTTGTTTATTAAACTGTAAAGGAATCTACCATTTTCCCCATTGTTCCACTTAACTTGCCATTCTTTAATCACTTTACTCCATATTAAAACCTTAATCTCTGATTTACTTAATGGAACTTGTATCTCTATCGTTTCTCTCTGTAAAGCTTGCTTTGCTAATTTATCCACTTCTTCATTTCCCCTTATTCCTATGTGTGCTGGGACCCATATAAAACTGATTGATGTATCATTTTGAACAATTCTTGAATGTATTTGTAGGATACTAAAAAGAATATCTTGGTGACATGATTTAAAAGATTTCAAACTCTTTAAGACTGAAACTGGGTCAGAACAAATTAGAACATTTTCAGGTTTGTGTTCCTCAACTCACTGCAAAGCCAAGAGCATTCCTATCATTTCTACAGTATAAACCGCCAAATGATTTGAAGTTCACTTTACTCCACTGATCCACTGGTCATCACTGTCTTGAACTAAAAAAGCAGCCCCAGTTATTTGACGTTCTGGATCTTTTGAGCCATCTGTATACACTTGTATATGCCAGGGGTATTGGACTCTGGTATACATTGAAAATGCAGATGCCAAGTCAATTTCTCTTTCTGTTTTTTTAGTGCTACATAGATCGTTTTTAATGAAGAAAAACTTGCCCCCCCTTCCACTCCACTTACACATCTCATGATGTTTAACACCTTCCGACATTTCTCAACTATTTTATTTATATGTTCAGCCCAAGTAAGTTTGGCATCAAAATAAATACCTAAAAACTTAAATACCTTCACCCTTTCTAATGATTTCTCATACATCTTCAAACTCGCTTCTGGAATAACCCTCTTCCTAGAGAAAATTACTGTTTTACTTTTCTCCACTGAGAATTTAAAACCCCATTCATATGCCCATTCTTCTACTTTCCTAATTGCCTCTTGTATCCTCCTATTAATAATAATAAAATATTCCTTCCCCTTTTCCAGAGAGCACCGTCATCTGCAAACAGAGACCTACCTATATCTGGTTCTACTTGATTAAATACATCATTTATCATTATGGAAAACAATAATGGACTTATTACACTCCCTTGTGGAGTTCCATTTTCTATCTGAAATGTATTTGACACTTCATTCCCTATTCTTACCTGGATGATTCTGTTCGCCAAAAAATCTTTTATCCAATTGTATATTCTTCCACCTATATTCATCATTTTTAATTTTATCAAAAGTCCCTCTCTCCACATCTTATCGTAAGCCTTCTCGACATCCAAAAATACTGCTATTACTGACTCTTTATTTATCTGCGCTTTTCTAATTTCATTTTCTAAACATACAATAGGATCCATTGTTCCTCTTCCTTTTCTAAAACCACTTTGATATTTTGATATTAATCCTCTTTTTTCCAAAAAATATGTCAACCTTTCCGTTATCATCCTTTCCATTATTTTACAGACATTCGATGTAAGAGCTATCGGTCTATAATTAGAGGGTTTTGAAGGATCTTTTCCTGGCTTTCTTATAGGTACTATTATTGCTTCTTTCCAAACTTTCGGAAGTCTTCCTTCCTCCCATACTCTATTATATAATTCTAAAATTTTTCCCACAGCCCTATCTTTAAGATGTCTTATCATTATATATCCGACCTGATCCTTTCCTGGAGATGAACGTTTTTTATTAGCATTACAAATAGCTCTCTTCAATTCATCTCTGTTGAAAGGGAAGTTAATTGGCTGGTCCTCTATTCCCCCACTCCTTACCAATGCTTCTATATTTTGTCTCTTTGTTATTTCTCTCCTCCTCTTTCCTTCCTCACCTAAGTTCCCTGACCCATGTATTTGTGCAAATGTTTTTACTAGCATTTCTGCTTTGCCCTTATCCGTTACAGCTATTTCTCCTTCTGACTCTAATACTGGATATTCCCACTCTTTCTTATTACCTTTCATTCTCTTGATCATATTCCATACATCACCTACTGGAGTTGTTCTTCCAATTCCACTACAGAAACCACGCCAGCTTTCTCTTTTAGCTTGCCTTATAGTTCTCCTCACAACTGCTTGAGCTTTCTTGAATAAAACTAGATGATTATAATTATGCGTTCTCTTAAGAAGTTTAAAAGCTTTATTTCT